TCTGGAGAACTTTCCAGCTACTTGGGAAATGAAGGGCCTCTGGAGAACTTTCCAGCTACTTGGGAAATGAAGGGCCTCTGGAGAACAGGTGCTGCTACACAGAGGCAATAACAATCATCAGATGGGGCGAGATGCTGGAGATGCTGCTGAGCAGGTCTGGAGCCAAACGAGACAGGTGACTCTCTGAAAACTCACAAGGCGGGAAGATCTGCAGCACGTAGGCCGGCTGGGGAGCAAAGGAAGCGTGTCACGGGGTGGGCATGGGATGGGCACACGGGTCACCATTTCATCCACAGCAAACCATAGGCCAGTCTGACTCCTGCAAATTGGTAACAATACACCACATTACCTGGTTAGAGCCTGGATTTGGGACGTTGATGATGCCAGCAGCCTGCTTGGCCTGCAGGTAGGTAATGAAGCCGCCTTTGAGGGCATGCGTCTGGTTCAAGACATCCTCCTGGTCACGTCCACACGGAAGAGCCAACAGGAGGCAGTAATCACTCTCCACCTGAACAAATAATATATTAAAAATACTGCATGACCGGCTGCTATTATCACTGGGGTAACAACAGGATGATTCTTTGCAAGCATAATATTTTGCAAAAAATAATAAAAATCACGATAAAGGGCCTGAGAGCAGCAGATTATTTTAGCTAAGTCACTGAACATGCAAAGAGCTGGGTACTGCAGTCACCATCATCCGCCGAGCGACTCCCTCCAGCTGAGAGGCCTCCAGTCTCATCCTCTGCACGATACGCAGCAGAGGCCCCCCCTCCGGCGGGGGCAGAGAGCGGTGTGCCAGCACGTTGTTGCCTGAGACAAAGTGCAGCTGGACAGCAGCTGTATCGTTCTTTAGGGCCAAGTGTCCCTGCCACACAATAGGGTACTTCTGCTCCGGAAAATATTTAAAGAGAGAAAAAAATCAGTCAGCTGCATAACTACTAGTCATGCGTCGCATAATGACAGCGATACCTTCTGAGGAATGTGCCATTAGGTCATTTCGACAGTGTGCAAGCATCGTTAAATGTACTTAGATAAACCTAGATGGTATAACCTGAACCATTAGCATTGCTGTTTATTACCATTATCAAGTATTATGTACTGTATGTGCTTAACTTTTAATATAACTGGCAGCGCAACAGATATGTGAGTAATGTGTTAAGCTATGTCATTACAATGGCTACAACATTACTAGGTGATAAGGAATTTTTAGTACCGTTATAGTATTCTCATGGGACTACCATCATTATGGGGTGAATTAAATGGTGATATACGGTACATGACTGTATTTATCTTTACCGTGACAAAAACAGTTACATAGCTATTTACAGAATTTGCTCATAAATGTGTGACAGAAGCTGTCTGGGTTAGGACAGTCCTGAACCGGATAAACATTTGGAAGATAAATATGTCTGTCACAAAAGTATTGTTAATGGTACTAGCAACAGATGATCTTCTGTCTCTTGATCTTTTATCCTTTAGGTTTTTCTCACCTTAAGCAGCTGCACCATGTCCACAGTGCGGCTTGCTGTCTGCTCCAGCTTGCTCTCATCCCGCATCTGGCCAGAGCCAGACGACGGCAGGTGAGACGGTAGGAAGGACACGGAGCCCTTCGTCACGGATGTTTGCGCTGAATCCAGTTTGTGAGAGACTGGAACGGGAGAGACGTACGACGGTGAGCCGGCGTCACCCTGTGCTCGGGAGAGGTCGATAGTCCCTGCGTGACGATGATGTGACGCCTCTGCTTTGAGGTCTCCAACTGCTCCTGAGGACACCTGAGCAGTTTTGCTCCTGTGACTGTGCTCGCCATCCTGAGAATGAAGACAAAAATCATACAAAACCAATCAAAATTTAGTAATAACATTAAATTAAAAAAAACTGATGTTCCACGCATACATAACTTGGCACAATTAGGTATGACCTGGTAGCGGTGACAACAGTAGCCTAAACAGACTACCAAGAATTATATCAAGCTATATTTGACAGAAACACTAAAAGTATTCAAAGCTCACATTGCATGGACTCTCCATTCTGCTCTGACTCTCTCACCTGTGAGGGGGTGATGCTGCGGGGAGGAAGGTTGATTCCCATGGCAGAGGGAGCAGCATACTGAGAGTGAAACCCCCGCATGTCTCGGTACACTGCAGAGTATTCTGGGAATGTGTTGGCAGCCCCTCCATGCAGAAGCTGCACCCCCGGGTTGGACACCATGACAGGCGCAGTGGGATGTGCCCCCAAGATCCGGCCTTCAGCGTGTGGAGACTGCGGCACTTTCACATCTGCGGTTTTGGAGGAGTCCTTTCCTGCCTGTGTCGCACCTTTTCCGACAGGTGGGGTTTTGGAAGAGGAGGATGAAGAAATGTTGCTAGTGGAAGATGAGCAGCCAGTTTCTGGGGTACGGGCTTGGCGTGCCTCTGTGGATGCATGCTCTCCAAGCTGGTGGTGCATTAGTATCCTTACATCTCTGGATGGTAGGCCATACAAGCTAGCTCCATGGTGCAGTCCACAGTAGTCACTTGGCATCACCATAACATCTGACTGCACCTGAGGTGCAGATGGCCTACGCAGTCCCTGATGAAAGTGTCTGACATCATCCTCCGATGCCCCACTGCTGCCCCCAGTGCAGCCTGTGTGGGACTGCAGCACCATGTCTCTGATGCCTGCAGGCTGGGGCGTGCTTGAGCGCTGCTGGGTCCCCGAACGTGGAGAGGCTAGAGTCTCCGAACGCATCCCATAGCCTATCCCAGACAGAGGAGGAGTGTTCAACCTCACATCACCCTGAGAGAGGTGGCTCAGAGAAACAGACTGAGTGACACTGTGAGGAGGCATAATGACCGACTGCTCCTGGTGATGTACAAACTGGGACATAGCTGACATGCCCGGGCCAAGGACCACAGAAGTGCCAATGGGGGACACAGAGCTACTCGGAGGGCAGACTTTGGAAAACGGAGATGGTGAATGGCCCGAAGTTCGGGGTGAGTGAGGCTCTTGTTTCAAGTGCGGCACAGTTCTGTCGGTAGGTGTCCCAGGACTTGAACCCATGTGGTTCCCAGACAGAGAGGGGTGGTGGGGACTCATCACAGGGCTCAGGTTAGAGGACTGAGGTTTACCTGAGTCAACCTTGAGGGGTATTGGATCAGTTACCATCCCTTTTTTAATATTCTGCTGTTGCTGCAGCATAGCCTGATTGTAGATCAAAACCTGCGAGCTGCTAACAGACTGCGAGTGCATTTTCACAGTGCCAGCCTGAGGCCCAGAATGATATGTTAATTCTGACTTGTCTGACCCAGGAATCTCCTGTTTAATGGTAGAGATGACAGGCTGAGTGTTGTAAGACTGACCAGCTAAAACCCCCCCACCGTGGCTATATGCAGTTTGTGAAGCCTTTGGGGTGGGGGGCTGGGAAGGAGTGAGTGGCTCCTGCTTAATCTGGGGTTTAGATACAGATTGTTGGAACTCAATGTCAACTGCACTGGCTGGTGGAATCTGGCTGATCTTTGCACTTATACGCTGAGGCCCCTCAGTCTTCTGTCCGGAGTAACTCAGTACCACTACACCCTCAGAGGTGTTCACCCTCAGCCCAGGGCTGGCACCTGTGCTGTAGGCTGCACTCTCTACCATAGCTCGTCCTCCACTACTTCCTTCTTCGCCTATAGCTAGCCCATGATACCTGTTTTCACTGATGCCAGATCGATACTTTTGCTTCGGCAGTGACATCCCCGAGTTACGACTGCTCAAGGAAATGCGTGGTGCCTCGTCCGAATCAAAGGGGATTGGAATGCGGCTTATAACTGAGGTACCTGTTGAGGATATTACAGAATTGACCATTTTCTCACTATAAGCTTGCTGGACCTCAGGTGGTGGTGGTAGGGACGACTGCTGGTGTACAGGATGGGGGGTGACAGTCGAAGGCCTTTCATCAGGTATGCAGGGCTTGACAGTTATCAGCTCACAAGAATTGTCATTCTCTGACATCCGTGGATCCCTCATGGAGGTTGTAAGAAGTGTGCTTGGAGCTGAGTTATTTGAGGTTGATACATACTTAGGTTCCATAAGGATTTTGCGCAAAGTGCTAGAACTAGGGTCAATGTCCGACGCTTTTGTATCAAGTGGTAAGGTGGAGTTTCCAGAAGGTGGTACTCCTGCTGTGGCTGTAGGAGTAGAGGGACCCGTAACAGGGATTTGAGGTGCAGATGGAGCAAGGACACTGCCATCCTCAGAATGATTCTGCCAGTCTTGGGGGGGGACAGGCAGCTTGCAAGTACGTGTCGGGGAGAACTTCAGACTAGTTGGAGAAGGTGTGAGTGATGCTGTACCTGAAGGTTGCTGCTGCAGCTTGCTGGTTGAATGAAAGGCAGATTCTTGGGGTTCTGGTTGCTCAACTGCAGGCTGTTCTGCTTCCTTAGGAGTATCCACAGCTTCAACAGTTACACGTACAACTTCCTGTTTACAGGAGGCCGCTGTAGTGACAATAGCTGCTGTAGAGGCTGATCCAACTTTGGGTTTCAGAGTCTGTGGGTCTTCAGGGATGGACTCTGGCATTTTTACTGGGGTATGTTCTGGTTCTAAAACTGCCTCCTCTGTCACATCCCCCTTCCTGTTGGTATGGGTTCTACGGCTTTTAGACTTCTTTTGCGGTTTGGCTCTAACTTTACCACCTTTCCTGGGAGTGCTTGGTTGAGGAGACTCATCCTGGGTAGAGGCCTCACCGGCAGCGGATTCTGAAACTTTAGAATCTGGAATCAATCCTGTGTCTGTGTCCATAATGATAGCCACGTCTGTCTCTGGTTCCATGCACTCACTGGTACTGGGGATTACCAGTGGCTCTGGGGTAGGGACAAGAGTTGCATAAGTAGGTGGGGCTGTGAATCCATCTGCTTCAGCAGTAATGGAATAAATGGCAGCTTCAAGTTCAGTCTCACTAGAAGGATTTGCAGGCTTCTCTTCCTCAACCTCATTTTCTGGCTCCACTGTTACCGGTGATATCAAGGTTGGTGGTTCTGTTTGAGGTTCCTTATAAACTGGAAGGGGTGGCTCCACACTGAGTTTAGCAATATTCTCTACTGCCCTCTCCAGTTCCATCTGACGGGCTAGCAATGCAGCTGCCGGATCAGCAGGAGGCTCGGGGTCTGACAACACCTCTTCCTTATTCTCAGAACTGAGCTCTGACGCCTTGATGAAAGGAGGTGTCAGTGAATCTTCTTTCGCAGATGCACCTGACTTGGTCTTTTTTAGAGAGGTGTCAAAAGATTCAGACTCCTCCTCACCAGAACGCAACACACCCTTCACATCATCTACACTCAAACGGATCTCAAGGTTCTTCAAGCTCAGGGAATTATCCTCTATTGCCATCTTAGTGTTGCGTGTCAGTCTCGGCGCTTTTGTTTTTCCACTCTTCTCAGTTGGTGGCCGCTTTTCAGTGACTGGCGTTTCCAGCTTATCACCAGCTTTTTCTTCATCTAGTTTCCTTTCAGTTAGATCTGGAATATCACTGTCTTTCTCTCCTTTTTGCATTGTCATATCTTGTATCTCATTTCCTATGAGTTTCCCACACTGCTCAAGCAATTCCTCCTTTGACTTAGCTGTGGAATCTAAAATACCAGCAGCATCACCCCCTGAGCGCTCCGCCTGCGGACCTGTATTCTCAGATGTTTTGTCTGCTTTGACTCCCTTCCGACTTTGTACAGAGCTAGCAGGTGGGGATCCTTGGTTAAGCTGCACTTTCTGTGTACGTGGTGAACGCCACCCTTCAGCGACTTTGGCAACTTCGCCGCTGCTACAAAGGTCTTTGCTGTCAGTTTCTTCTCCCTCTGATGTTTTCGGTGGCTCTCCCTTCACTGGTGACATATCTTCTCCTCGCCGACGTGTTTTGGGAGGGCGTCCTCGCCGGGGTGGGGCAGCTAATGTGTCCTGAGAAGGCTGCTGCTGCTGTACTAGCTCTCTGTCAGCACACCGCTTGCGAGTAGGACGAGGGGATTCTGTAACTTCCTTACTTGACTGCTGAGGAGTCTCATCCTCTACAGGGGTTGCATAAACAGACCTTACATTTCTGCGCCGAGTCCTGCCATGTAGCAAGCTCACCTCATAACTTTGATCTGAGTCTGGAGCATGAATCGGGGACTTAGCAGTGTTTTTAGAATCAGTGGCTGGTTTGAAAGCCTCTCCTCGAGGAGAAGACGCCCGTTTAAGCTTCTCTCTGTCAATTCGCTCACTCTTGCGTATGGCTGGTTTCTCAGCGCCAGTTGTTTGGACCAGAGAAGGTGCTTGTGCTGGGACTGGTTTAGCTCGTTTGTTCTTGGGTTGTTTTCGAGGTGGCAGCACTGGCTCAACCTCAGTTTCAGAGACCAGCAATTGAACCTCCTGGGACTCTTCAATTTTCTGGGGAATATTATTCTCCGTTTGATCACATTTTTCTGACAAGGCCTCTTCTTTAGTAGTATCTGTGTTTTCCTCAGATTTAGGGGAAGCAGGAATTGGAAACTCCGTAGGGTGGGGCTCTGGCTCTAAACTGCAAAGCGAGGCACCAGGAGTAGGAGGTTTAACATCCAGGTAAGAGGACTGTTCTACAGTAACTGTATTTTTTACTGTATTCTTGGATTCACACAACTCTTCCTTAGAATGCATTTTAACTTCTGCCTCAGAGGAAATGGCCTCAGGGGTTACAACGCTGCTGGGGACAGGTGGCGATATCTCTGCCACAGGCAGTGAAGGAGGCAAGTAAACATCAGCAACATACACTCCTTTTTCTTCTTTAGCAGAAAGACTCTGTACCATGGGTTTATCCTGAGGTGGTGTCATATCTCGAGGTACTGAAATGGGATGTGAAACTGCAACTCCTGCACTAGGACTGATGGGTTTAACGTCTTGGTCCACAGTCAGCTCAGGCACTTTTGGCGATGACCGTGACTGTTCCTGTTCACTTTCTTGCAGCTTTTCCCTCTCATGCCCATCAGCACTATTAATTTTCTCTATCTCTTTGGGTCGCAGGTCCCTTTCTTTCTGTTGCTGTAACTCTAAAAAACGGCTATGGAAAAGTACCATAGGCTCTTGCAGGAGGTCAGTTCCACCTGTTCCAGGTTGTACCTCAGTAGAACTTTGCCTCCCAGTATATCTACTAATGTTCAGTTCTGTGTCTTGATCCTTGCGTTCAAGATGTTGCAGGCGCCTTGAGTCCTGCTCAAAAATAGAGCTGTGGAGAAAGCGAGAGGCAAACAGCTCCTGTCGTTCATGTTCTTCTGGCTTAGGTTCTTCTTTTTTGTCATCAAGCTTGCCCTCTGAGTCAGTACGGATTTTCTTTTTCTTCATGTACCAGGAGGGAATAGGCCTTGGGGCAGACTCCACCTTTTCCTTATCTTTGGTGCTTCGGAAGCTGGCGAAGCGAGAGTCACGATCCAGGAATGACCAGTTATCCTCTCGGGACGAGGACAATGACTTTGCTCGTTCCAGCAATGCTTTAGTGTCTGGTGTTATAGTCTGGTCCAGTGCAAAGGAATAAAATTTGTTCCTCTCTAGGGAGCCAGACAGCTTGAGGTCTGACAACCTGTCTTCACGTTCCCTAAGAAGGAAAGAGAGAGATGTAGATGGCTTAGGGGAGTGGTGCTTGTTCTCACTGTCCTCATCAGAGTCTGACTGTACTTCTCCTGGCTCCAGCTCACGCACAAGGCGCTTGCGGATGCCTTCACGTTTCACAATGCTGCTTGGGAAACTCATGTCAAGTCGTAATGGGTCCTGTTTCACCCTGTTCTCCCAGCGCTGCTCCTCCTCACACCCCAGAGACACAACTTTCACTTTAGACAATTCAGTATGGGAAGACCGTCCCCGATTACTAGTTGAATCAAAGCTATACTTCAGTATATCCATGTGTGAGTAGACTTCTAATTTAGGTGAGTCTTTGGCCTCTTTTATAGAAACCAGTCGAGGTGATTCTGCAGTATTGTCTTCCTCTTGGTAGGGAAAGTGCCTTAGCCCTGGCATCGAGGAAGTGTTTTTTTCAGAATCCTCACTCACTTGCCGTGAACTTCTATAGTTTCTTTCCCTTTTAACATTAATATCAAAATCAAGAATCTCCATCTTTTTACGTTTGTTAGGTGGAGAGTCATCCGTAACATCCTGAGGTGGCTTTCCCACCTCATGCACTAAGCTTCTCCGATCAAAATCCTCAGAGTCTGCACCATGTGCATTTTCAGGCTTATCCGACTTGTCATGCTCCTGCAGCTGCTGCCGGAGCCTTCGGTTCTGCTCCATTTGTTTGCGGCAGCTTTGAGAGTGATCAATGTCCACAGAAAGACGTTCATCAGCCTCCCCAGCACCTTTTTCCTGCACCAAAGACTGGTCGACTAGATCAAGGAAGTTTGGTTGCTCCTGTTCCTCTATATCATCTTGATCCAAACTCACATCGTCAGGAAACATCTGGGTGATGTGACTTTGATTCTTAAGGATGATCCCTGTCTTTCTTCCTGGAAAATCAACCAGATCAGTGCTCTCCTCTGCTGGTTCCCCCAGTCGTGCCTGCAGGTCAAGGCTAAGCCCCAAGCCTACAGGCATTCCCTCTGTGTCCAGCTCTTCTTTTGGGCTACAGACAGTAACCAGCCGTTCTGATTTACCTTTGCGGTGCTCCCTCTTATGTGCATCCTTTCGAAGGATCTTCCTATCAGCTTCCAGTTCTTTTGCCATAATGCTGTCACATGATTTCTTCAGTCCCACTCGGCCCTCTTCTTCCTCCTGGATCCCCCTTTTCAATCTTTCTATTTTTCCAGCAGAATCTCCAAAACGTCTCTTTCGAGCAGCTAGTCTGTCTACCTCTATAGTTGAGTTAGTGCCATCAAACCCTGGTTCAGATTTCATGTGCTTTTTAGGTTTTACCTTGACTTCCCTGTCTACCACTTCTACCTGGCTTGCCAAACCCTTTTCCTTAGAGACTTTGCACTGCTTGGGAAGTTCTCCCTTCTGAATATCCTGGCGTGAAGTTAGTCCTTTTTGGTCAATGGAAGATGGAAGGGGAGGAGGAGAGCGCACAGTGTCATTCTCACCCTTCAGGCGTTGCTTTTCCCCTGCAGCCTGCTCCAGCAGTTTTCCTTCCTTCTCCTTGACCCGTGTGAGCTGCACCACGCAAGGTGGAAGATCAAGGCGCCCTTTTCCGGCAGTGTCCTTCTCTTTGACAGTTACCTTACCACCTTTGCATCGAGGACCTGCCTCTGGACTGGTCTCCTGATCTGGTTCTGGGTCCGTCTCAGATGAGGGGAGACTGGGGGACGGCACCTTCAGCTTCCTTAACTTCTGCTTCTCCCCCTTCTCCCCCTTCTCTGCTTTTTCCTTACGCACAGCCCGTTTATCCTTCTCACCCCCAGTGGCACGTTCTAACTCAAATAACTGCCGTTCTTTCTCCAGCTTCTCATTCTTGCTGTACCAGTCAGGTTGTGCTTTATCAGGTTTCTCGTAGCGGGGAGGTGACAGTGAGCTGCAGCTTCCGCTCCGCTCAGAGGAGCGGCTATAGATGCGGCGCTCAGAGTCACTGGGCAGACGCTCAGATGGGGATGGAGAAGCAGCAGGGCTAGCAGCACGGCGGGGATGTGAAGGGCTCTGGCTGCGTTCAATAGTCCGTCGGCTATGGTCACGCTCACGGTCTGTTTCAAAACGTTCCCTCTCACGCTCTCTCTCCCGTTGTAGGTAACTGTATTTCCGAATGTCCTGCTCATAGGGGTCACGGTAATCCCTGTATTCCCGAGGGTCATCATAGTAACGTGGGTCATAATAGTCCCCCTGGTATGGGTCCCATTCTGTGTAGAACTCCCGACTCCTGGCAGGGTATTTGCGGCGTGGATCTTCAGTGTAGGTGCCTGGAGCACGGACATTTTCATAGTATGCCCGCTCAGCTGAAAATTCATGGTAAGGTGGTCTACGCTCATCTCTGTAAAAGACACAGACCAGATAAGAACATAAGAACATAAGAAATTTACAAACGAGAGGAGGCCATTCGGCCCATCAAGCTTGTTTGAGGAGAACTTAACTAATAGCTCAGAGTTGATAAAATCTTATCTAGCTCTGATTTAAAGGAACCCAGGGTTTTAGCTTCCGCTACACTAGCAGGAAGACTATTCCATACTCTAACTACACGCTGTGTGAAGAAGTGTTTTCTCAAATTCAGTTTAAAATGTTCTCCCGCTAATTTCCACCTATGGCTACGAGTTCTAGTATTTAAACTAAACGCTGGCAAAAGACTATTTCAGAACATGTTCAATAATGGAGCAGCTGTTTTCCAACTTAACAGCTTTGAATACATTCATGCATCACAACTCTTCACAACCAATGAACAGAATATGGAGGGATGGGTCAAAGAACACTAAGGTACTATCAAAAATACATGAAAATGACACTTTTTTGTCACCATTTTAAATTAATCATGAGATTCATTGCATGCATAAGAATGAAAAAATATCACACCCAATTCACTGTTTTCCAGCAATACTACACGTCACATAAGCTACATACCTTCGTTCAGATAAGATTTCATAGAAGTCTCGGATATCCTGCCCAGACGCCTGCATTGAGCGATAAAAAGCCATCTGGCTCTCTTGATTGGCAAAATCCACCTGGAGACAGACAACAGTGGTATCATTACATATCTCAAAATCTTTTAACAAGGCAGTTTTAAAACAATTAACAACATAAATGCAAAGTAAAAATATATTCTTGATTTGGTCTGTTTCTATTCAATTTAGCCCACCAATGCAACTACCAACATGTTTCTCAAAACCCAAGAAATTAATTAGTCAAACATATATTTTCCCAACCATCCATCTTCCAACCACTTATCCTGGTCACAGTTTTGAGGAGCACAGAGCCAACACAGGAAGCTCAGCGTAAAGGCTGAGCTCCATCGCCATTCACTGCAGGGCACATAGACACACACATACCCAGTTAGAAACACCAGTTAGCCCACTTAGCACGTGTTTACACTACAAGTGGAGACTCACATTTCATGAGAACATGCTAACTGCGCACATCTCTGGAGGTACGAGGCATCGGAGCGACCCACTGAACCACCATGCCACTGCAGATATACGGTTTTACAAAATAAACAATTTTCTGACCTTAATTTTGTTTCCCCCGATTTTCCAGCCCTTGGTTTCCTTGACAGCAGCCTGCGCATACTCAATATTATTATACAGAATCAAGGCCATTCCTTTCAGTCTGTCAAACACAACCTGGAGGAAGCACAAACAGAATCAAACAGGTGAACCAAGAAACAAGTACAAAAAGGACAGTGTGCGTCAAGGTGCTGTCGATATTTTATTCCTCCACTTCATGCACCAAGCAAAGGAGTGTTCTGGTTACCTTGACTACATGTCCGTATCGACAGAAGTGGCGTGTGAGGTACTGTTCTGTGATATTAGAAGACAGGCCATCTAGCCACACGCATGTTGTGGGCATGCTCTTCCCGAAGCCCAGCTACACAAGCAGGAGGCAACGTTAGCATTTCCAGCAATACTACAAAAGCCATTAACAATGTCATATGCGAGGGAAACCCTGCATTTAGAAGGTAGGAAGAAAAATATATGGTGTTTGCTTAAAGTAATTAAAGTAGTCACAAATGAGCAGAAAAACAACTACGCTACATGATAAACGATGAATCAGTGACACACCTTGAGCCTGTTGTTGCCCAGGTACTCCCCATCCATCTTCTTGATGGCCTTGCAGACACTCGCAATGTCACAGTACTGCAAGAAGGCATACTGGGGGGCGCCGTTCACTTTTTTAATATCAATGTCCTAGATGTGGGGAAAAGAGAAACTTTCAATGACAAGCCACGCAGTTTCCTACATGAGCACAATGCATGAGCTCCATGCAGGTACATGGAAGAGGTTGCTCAACACAGACTAGAAGCTTATATCAGCTAGCATGTGATAAAAAAGCTGTACACCACTTAGAAAGTAAACAGTATGGATTGCTAGTCAGAGAACTGACAACCAGCTCCGTATATGTTCTGGGAAGATCTAATTATTAACACTAAAATGGCTGAAATTCTCTTAGAGGGAGTCAATAATTTATTTTTCAGTTTCTCGATGCACACATACCACAATCTCCCCAAATCGCTGGAAAATGTTGAGGAGGTCATGGTAGCTAGTTGTCTTCTCCAGGTTGCCTATAAACAGTGTCCGTGTAGCTTTGGGATGAAATTCATCAATGCGCTCATCCAGTGGTCGGAACTCATTCTCACTCTCAGTCTCTGAGAGGTGTAATAATAAAGGAGAGAAAACATGCAAACATCAGCCAACAGACATAAGAAAAGGCTGCAAACCATAATAACAATTTAAAAAAAAAACAGTAGAAAGCAAAAGATTCAAGGTTTTTGGAGGTAGGACGTACCTGGCCCATTCCAGGCAGTGACGTCGATTTGCATCCCAAAGAAAAGCTTTCCTTTAGAAGCACACAGAGCCTTCTCCTGGTCCTCCTGCTGTCGGAAGAAGACTAGTCCATAGCGCTCCTCTGAAGCTCCATGGATCTGCACTGATGTCACCTTCCCATACTTCTTAAACTCATGGAACAAGCCGTCCTTCAGGCTGGTGTCTGGTGGTCAGAGGTGGTCAATTGATGGTCTGTTTCATGAGATCTCTGTAATGATCAAAACCACTTACCATGGCCTTCCATGCTATGGGTACAACACGTAGCTTCCAGCAGAAGTGTTACACATGGAGAGGATATCCAGTTGCTCCAAGTTTGAGCGTTCTCAGGTTTCTGAACATTATATTATATCATATATAACATGCACTTCAAAACTACCCTTACCAGTCCTGACACCACAAACGAACAAGCTGATTGCCTTGATTTAAAGCATTCAGAACAGCACTGACGATCGCCAACCACTCTGGCACCTCAACACAGAGCTAATACAGTCTAACTCCAACTAATTCATAATTAACTAATTTATATTGTGCCAAAGTACCATGAAGTGGAAAAGGCACAAAGCAATGTAATGTCTGCCAAAAACAACCATATAGCACAGCACAGGAGGGCATGAACTCACCTGTGGAGCGCACAGGAAGGTTCTGGACCTTTATGCCAAAACTTTTGCGTGGCTCATCCTTTTCGAGGGCTGATGGGGGCGGCGCAGAGGGGGCAGGCACTGCAGCCGATTGCACAGATCGTGCCGGAGACTCATCACTGGAGCTGCTGCTGGAATCGCTGCTGTCAAAGACGAGTAAAGACCACTAAGAGGGAGTAGGATAGTCTGCACATACACAGGACATACGTCATCAGGCCTACGCACCAACATATGCATTCCAATATGCAGATTCACAGGGAGGTGGGGGATTGGCATCTACACAGGCTACAAGGTCCAAGTCAGGGAAGCACCCAGGATGAGGTGCCAGAACACAGCAGGATTCAAACTCCAATCCCAGTGAGGCAGCAGTGCTACCTGTGTCACTGTGTCACTGCTTCAGAAGTGCTACCTGTGTCACTGTGTCACTGCTTCAGAAGTGCTACCTGTGTCACTGTGTCACTGCTTCAGAAGTGCTACCTGTGTCACTGCTTCAGAAGTGCTACCTGTGTCACTGTGTCACTGCTTCAGAAGTGCAATACACATGTATTCACTGGTCAATAAGACTATCCAATATTCCACAAATTTATCGAAGGACAACATACCGCTAAAGCACCAATAATGTCTCTTTAACCATTTCTGATGAAAAAAGGAACTCTCTCGCTGGAGAAAATGCTGAAAAGCTATGCTGCCTGCATTATAATTTAGGATTAACCTGGGATTATTAGTAAATTCAGTCTAAGGTTGAGTTGTGACAGAATGCATGTGTAGATCTATTTGGTTAAGACCAAAGGTAATGCATTTTACCATAGTTTTATTTACAGCAGTTAGATACAAGCAACATGAAAGGCAGACAGCTACAGTCAGATGTGGATTTCACCAGATAACCAACCCAAAGTCTATATCTATGCTACATTTCCTAAACAGAATGAAACAGAAAAGGGGGAGGGAAAAGGCAAGGCAGGCACCAAACGAATGAAAACAAAGGGCATCTTACTGTATGAACGGGGGTTTAATGCAACCAACAAACAGCAAAACCTGAATATACAATAGCAAAGCTATCAAAATCCAGAGAAGGTTAGGCTGGCTCAGAGCCTGTAAGCATACAAAGTCATAGGTCAGCTGGGATTTCAAATATTACATTATACTATACATACTAAACAAAGGAGAAAACTCATTTTTTTAACATAATTAATTTGTGAGGTGTGATTGTTATACTTATAAATTGCTCTTTTTAAGAGTTCATCATTATGAGCAGTGATGTTTATGTTTTGAAGTTTGTGGCTACATATGAGTTGCATTGTTTTTTATTTGTATTTTATATATATATAATATTAATTTTGTATATATTATTGTGAAGTTGTTTATGAGAGTTGGAGAAATTGGTATAATCATATCAGTCAGTAAAGCACTGTTTCACTGCAACTACTGATGTCTGCTTAATTTTGTCTATAAAATTATACTGGCCGATATTAAAAGATAGGAATTTTTAGGTCTTTAAAATCTTCAAAAATTTTCATATGGGTCACATCCTAGTATAAACTCATACACCCATAAATATGCTGATGCACATGCTATTTTTTCATAGGTAAGACCAAAGAATATCCTTCAAGAGCAGTATTTCAGCAGCAAACACATCTTGCCTGTAATTCCATGTTTAGCCTTAGAGTGGCACCCTCACATTGTTTTTCATGTGCAGTTAAACGGAAAGCAATTTCATATTGAGCTATACTGGTGGAAGGTTAACAATATCCAATCACAGGCATTAAGCTGACGCACATGATCCTGGCACAGGCAACGGATCTCATCGGAATCAACTGATGTTCCTAGAACACTTGTGTTACATGGTTACATTAACATCGGCTTTCTAAGAAGTAAACAATGGATACTTAATTCCACAAAAACAATATGATGTCCTTCAAAAACTTTAACACTAGGCTCAGCAGTACTGTGCAGGTAGATACTAGTGTAACCACTAGGAATTTAACTCCTAAACTCTTCAATTACCGCTTTGGTGATGTGTACCACAGAAGGACTGTTATCCTGTTAATTTACTCAGTGGTAATAGAAGACCCCTCATTCCCAAAGACGCTACAAAACCCGCTGCTGTATGGCTAGCTTGTTAGCACAGAAGCTGTGATTCCCCTTTTACTTTCACTTTTGCTTCTACCGTGCATGGGCTCCAGCTGGAATAAAAGCTCATCACAGGCCCCCTTCTGCTCTCTGCACCCACAAGCTCAGCGAGGGCACAATATTCTCTCCCTCTGGCTGCTCGTACAATTTTTCCATGCTCCTTCACTCCCTCTTGCATCGATTTCCAGGTAAAATCTGTCCGTCCTTCTCCAAACCACACATCCAGGGTACTGCTCCCATACCTATCTTCTGCTCTACCCCTCTCCTCCATCTACAGCCTGCACCATCCTTCGTCTTTGTTTTGCCATCGGTCTCGTGATGAATCTCAGAAACATCAGACTGTGGCTATTTTCTTATCGGCACAGTAGTGTTGTGATCCTGCCACGAAGGATGCAGTGATTGCCCTGGGTTTCCTTCTTTTTACCCCACCGATACAGTAAGCTCTTTATCCCTCCTAAGCAGACTCCTCACCTACCCACCCACCCCCCAAAACCCCACCGCACCCCGACACAGCCTGTGGAATAGGACGGACTGCCTGCAGTGTCTGGGCTGTGGGAGTGGGCAAGAAGCCAGTGGTGGCCAGAAATTTCCAGTTCGAACTGGATCACACGGAGGGGGGGGGGACACATACCCACCCACTCGCACACACAGAGGGGGTGGGCAATGAGAAAAATACATGAGGCGTCTCTGAAAACTCCCTAGAGCACTTTCATCCAATATGTCAGAACAGGAGAAATGGCAACGAGCCGCATGAAGAAACCCATTTCAAAAGGTCCGTACAGCAGTGAGAGGAGAAGCTCACCAAGTTTCCTGGTACAACACCTGAAGCATACTTTATATTTTTTGGACAATAAATATGTTTTTAAAATCTTCAACAATATTGCTATAAATTCATATCCTATCATTTTGCTAAACATTACTTCAGGAGAAAACCATTACAGTATGGTGTTGTTTGTCCACAGGCCAATATTAACTACTGAATTTTTTCACGAGGCACAACCTCAAATGCACGCAGTTTAAAGAACAAAAATGCAATTCTGAATAGAAAATGCTAGGTAATGTTGGCTGAACACTGTACAGAATCATACAGGACTACACCATGGATAGATTTATGGTTCTTAACCACAAAGATTTATGTTTCTTAACCACAAATTCACAGACGTAATGGTAATTGCTGGTATGTGAAAAGCTTTAACCGTTCTTCTTAAGCAGGTTAGTCAGATTTTAAGTGATGAACAGTAGCTTTTTAAAACAACCACAGGAAACAAATATATTGCGCTTTCTCATTTATATTTAATCCCTGCTTTTTTAGATAAATAAAAAACAGAAAATACACCATGGACATTGTTCATAATACTGATTAACTGCAAAGGCAGATTTAACATTAGGTACCTGAGCTGACGAAAGGAGTTGTCCAGGAGTGGGGGCTTGTTAGAGATAACGAGGCTTTTAGCTATTCAGCCCCAAAATACTGTAGAGCATCCCTGAATGGAGGTCCGAAGCTCCTGGTTTTGTTTGAGTTTGTAACATGCATTTGTAATTATTTATGACTCAGTCATAATGTTGTAAAAAAAACTAAAAATGTAGCTTCATGTGTTCACTTAAGAAACAGAAAAATAAAAATGTGCTCTGATATTCACTGTTCTGAGTCAAGGCTCTAGAAGCCAATTAAGTCTCTGTTAAATGTCTGGAAAGCATACGTTTTAGAATATCTATTTTTTTTTAACACACACCAATGAGCTAAAATGTTATGATTGCCCCCATTCATTTCCATTTCCCAAACTGCTTATCCTGTTCAGGGTCGCGGGGGGGCTGGGGTCTGTCCCGGAGGCTATGGGTGCAAGACAGGGAGCAACCCAGTCTGGTGTGCCACTCCATAGCAGGGCACACTCACACTCACACTCACACTAACTCACACTCACACTCACACTCTCACACACACACACACAAGTTGGTGTACCTATCTAAATGGGGACCGTCCATTCATTTCTATGGGAGAAACCCTAATCCCAATCACGACACCCTTAACCTCTACCCATCCCTAACCTTAACCATAAATAACAAATCAAAATACAAGACTTTTGGCATTTTTACTTTTTTGATTGCATACACAGATATTTATAAAATTGAGGTTATCCAAATGGGGACCTCAAAAGACGTCCTCAAATGTTATCTATGCAAACCCCCCCCCACCCACACACACACACACACACACACACACACACACACACACACACACAGGTGATTTGGTAGCTTCAGTTGGTCTCAGCATGTTTTTGGACTGTGGAGGAGGGGGGGGCTGGAGTACCTGGATGGAAACCCCACGGCAACATGGGAAGAACATGCAAACCCTACACACATGGAACCCAGGCACAGACTCGATCCCACATCCCAGAAGTGTCAGGCAACAGTGCTAACCACTGCACCACCACGGTGCCTCTGCGACCAGCCCCCTGTGAAGCAAATAATGTTGAATATCTCACAAAAACACTGCATGTCAAAGCCTGGGGTATGTTAGACAGGAAAGTAACATTCAGTATATTCATAGTCAACGTGTTGATAAGGCTTGATGGACTGTGTGCCGTGACACATCACCCCCCCTGATCAATAACAGCCCAGATATTGTTTTGCCGCAAAAAGAACGTTCTAGTTTAAAAAAAAGTTACCACACATAATAAACTAAAATTTGACAAACACTAATCAGAAATTAAAATTCTTAGATCAAATATCTGGCCAAATGGTGAATAACAGTAAAGGTATGACCATAATACAGAACTGCAGTAAAAAACAAAACAAAACAAAAAAAATGCGGCATTCATGGTGTCTTCCCTCGTCAGTTCAGCTAAAAGCTCACTATGCAAACAACATCAGTAAGCAAATGCAGTTTGCATGTTAGCAGTCATATCCCTCGATGCTAGCTTACACCATGAGTACTGGAGACTTACTGCTGCGGATGAATGCAAACTGCACCAAAAACCTGGACCATAAAACCAGCCAGTACCATACTGTCCTAATTACAAATATTGCAACAATCATCTGCTTTTCATCCAGACTTAGAATCTGTGATGCTGAGTAGTTATCCTTGTTCAAATATTGCAGTCGACAGAATGAATAGCTTATAGTAGTAAACCAAACATCAATTAACATACAACAAAAGCCAGTTCTTCTGCAGAAATGCTATGAAAATCAAATTGCAAATCCCTTCACAGCAGGGTCCGTCTGCAGCATCAGAAACTATTGTTTTGCTGAACCTGATGCATAAACGCACATGTATGCACATAATCTCTGCAGGAACACTTCACTTCACTGCACTGTCCTGTCCAGGTAACAAGCAAAAGCCAAATATCCTCTAGGTTCTTGTAAAAACCCAAAACACCCTGAAATATTGTAAAAAAAAAAAAAAAAAAGCCTAACAAGTTGACAGATAACCTTTCATATTTAAAGTTCCATCAAAAAATATTTCTTAAGAATATTGACACCAACGATCTGTGACTCTGCTTCAATCTAATGTTCTTGTCTTGAGCAGAGCAGCACTAATGCAATCAACCTCTGGCTAAATACAACATGGAACACTGAGAGCTATGGGGGGCACATGCAGTAGTAATCACTGCCACATGTAAGGCAAACTGTACTGGAGTGCAGCCCAGCAGCAATATGCTAACTGACAAGTCAGGTCCTGAGCCTACAGAAACACAGACCTCATGATAAATGGGCCCAGGCTTGATGACCTGAGAGGCGGTAATATTCATCAGAGTAATGGGAAAAAACGTGACCGATTCTTCATTTCCGCCCTTTATAACACACTATGCACTATATTCCTTACTGCTGCTTTTTTTTATAAACTTATGAAAGAATTTTAATAATCACTCACTAGATTAAATATTACAGGGTCACAGCCATTCGTCTTAATGTCAAAAATCATATTTAATTCTAAATTTAGAGTCCGTGTGTTTATCAACATTCTTGGATATTTAATCATTTCTGACTATTATTCATGTGACAAAACAGAAGTCAGACTCGTCAGAACAATGAATGGCATGGCAGCTAGATGTGGGGGATGTGAAATGATATCTGACAGATGACAGTATCCCAGCATCCTCAGCACTGAAGCCCCTTTCAGGGGTGTCACATACCTGCCGCTGCTGCTGCTGCTGGTGCTGCTGACGGAGTCCGAGCTGGACGACCGGCTGCCGGAGGCGGACCCGCTGGGGGAGCGGGGGGGGCGCGCCGCCTGGCTGGCCAGCCGCTGTGGGGAGGGGTTCAGCGACTGCGAGGAGTGCGGCGAGCGGCTGCGGCTGTGCTGGTACACGCGATCTCCACGGCGCCCTCTTTCTTCACGATACAGGTCACGGTGAACCACACTGGCCAGAGTAAAGGGTTCGCGAGGCCGAGCCTCGTAGCGCGGCTCCGGCGTCTCGAAGCGGCCAGGACTGCGGCCGCGCGAGCCGTAATAACCCACCGGCACGGACGCAGACCCGCTTACTCCTCCGCCGGCGCCGCTCCCACCTCCGCCAGCATTGCCACCGCCGGCCCCCGTTCCTCCAGCCCCCGGGCCAACCGCACTGGAGACCCCGCCCCCACCACCACCTGAGCCAGAGCCGGAGGCAACTCCGGCCAGCGCGCGCTCCCGCGGGTCACGGTAATAGTCTGTATCGTAGTGTCGCGGTCGCTCGAAACCACCGCCTCCGCCGCCACCTCGTTCGTGGTGTCCATAGGCACTGTGATCATAGGCACGATCCCGACTGTCGGAGGTCCTGGGAGACACAAGGGGAGGGTCAGGAGACGGAGGGAGGAGAGAGGAACAATCCCATTACTGCCAGCTTAGCTAGAAACCACATCCCACCTACTAAAGTGGCATAATGCTAGACTGTCTAATCAAACATACATGCCTACATACATATCTATTACATTTTATACAACACATATAAAATACAGATTATAACACCATCAATACACATGCACTAGGGTAAAGGACAATATACAAAATAAGACAAGAAAGGCCATTTACTGCTCTAAAGAATGTAACTTTGGCTTTATTGTTCAAAAGTGTTTTGTGCCATAGTAGTGTGAACAAGCACAGCAAAACCTAGACTAATGCAGCAATATCTGTAGGAGTGCCCAGCAATAAATACTTTATATTTCAGTATATGTTACTGGACATTATTCTAGTGATACAAGCTAAAAAGTAATATAAGAAAATGATACAAATGCAAAATAAATCTCCAGTTACAGAAATGCAAGCCAACTTAGTGTTGAACAGGATGTATCTGCTTTACCCCTGAAGAAGCCGTATTTTACCTACATACACTGTGATAAAAAAATATATATAATAAATAACATTATTGACTGGAAATAATTCCCTCTTGCTGGTTTTTCCTAAGCATTTCAAATGATATGTTTCTCTTCCATAGTTTATGTTAATTTACACACTGAACAGAAGTTCCACCAAGTTACAGTTTAGCACTTATACAGCCTGTATCTACAATGTCCATCCATCCATCCATCCATTTCCTGTAACCACTTGTCCTATTCAGGGTTGTGGGGGACTGGAGACTATCCTGGCGGCTACGAGTACAAGGCAGGGAACAACCCAGGATGGGGCACCAACCCATCACAGGGCACAAGGCAGGGAACAACCCAGGATGGGGCACCAACCCATCACAGGGCACAATCACACAGCATTCATACACACATGCACACGTATGACATGTTTTTGGGCCGTGGGGGGGAGGGACACGAGTACCCAGCGGAAACCCCACGACGATGTGGGGAGAACATGTAAACTGCACATCCATGGAGCCAAGAGGAAGACTCTTGGTCCCAGAGGTGTGAAGCAAAAGTGCTAACCACTGCACCACCGGATAATCTACAATGGATGTTGATTGTAATTACTGTCCCTATATCAATAATAGCATAATCTACTGATTAATCTGATGGTTCATTGAGTAATCATTTATATATAATATAATATAATATAATATATACATTACAATTAGCGAGGAAGGAACCAACCAACCATTGCCATTACAGAATGGTAATTAATCAATGAAAAATGTTAAATAAATGACAAAACACTACGCGGTTTGCAGTACATGCATATGCAATTGTCGCAAGGACTGCGATAGTAAACTGGATTGGGATTAGTATTTAAGTCTACATACCGTCATACTGGCCAGGCATTATATGGAGGTGTACAGTATTTTGACAGTATTTTGAAAAGCAATCTTAGAAATGGTAAGATTTGCTGAATGGAGATCAATAGGTTTTGATAAAACATTTTTACCCTTCATAGGACAAAATTTGGCAGGTTTTACAATTTTAATGATTGTTCCTTTTCAAAATGATCTAGCATTTGTTTATAAGTCAGTGTAATGTTTATCCCCACTGCTTTGCATGAGTTCTGCATGCGCTCAAGACAATTATAATCATTCTCTTCCTTGCTGCTGGACCCACTCATAGACCTTACGGCACATTTGTGAGAAATTTAACAGAAATGAGTGAGGAGGAGAAAAGTGAACAAAAACTGGTGACCAAAAGACATCTGTCTTCCGCTGAATGGAAATATTTTAAATTCTATAGAGAAGAAATTCAGCAAAACCCTGTGATTTGCTGGCACAGCCTTGTCAACACAACTCACAGCAACATCACCAGCGTATATTACAGACTCTACTGGTAGATCATAACAGGTTCTATTTGGCTATTTTTATTTACGGTAAATTTCCACCTCATTTTTTACAATAAATATCACAATATTTATTGCAAAAAAAATCACATTGCGATATTTGAAATTTTTCCAATATCGTGCAGCCCTGAACACTACCGAGGTTATAAAAACATGATACATCATAGGTTCAAGTTACAGTGATTACAGCTGAACAAACTTGTCTGCCTTATATTAGTTATCGAGTCCAAGTACACGTTTGTACGTTCACACCGGAGCTGCTAGAGAAGTGTCCAAAAATGAGTGCACAGTACTAGCTGGTTGTGTAACCTTGGCCTTTTTATTTATTTCATCTCAAATCATCCCAAAGGGGTCCAGTGTGATGACTATGTCATCACTTTTTACATTCCCTCCTCTTCCTTCTCCATCAAATAATTGTAACAGGATATTTACGATGAGTGCATTGCTTGACGTTTAACCAAAAATGATAAAGTATAGGTTGTTCAAAAACTTTTGACTAGCAATGTATTACGATAATTTTCTACTTTTCGGAACATATTTATTTCAAATGAGAAACTCTCATTGAGCCCCAAGACAGAAATACGACTGTGAACTTAGATTGGCCTTAAAATGGTTTAAAAAATGGTTTAAAGGGTCTAACATCAATATTCCTGTTTAAGAACCAGCCATCAATCCACTCTCTACAGCCATTGATCCTATTCAGGGTCAAGAGTCTATGGGTATAAAGCAGGGAAGAACCAAGGATGGGGTACCAACACACTGTAGGGCGCACACATCACTTTCAGTATGGTAGCTCAAATGAACCTTAGCATGTTTTTGGACTGGGGGGAGAACCGGAGCACCCAAAGGACACTCCACACACATGGAGGCATGGTGGAGACTGATGGTTGAGGTGTGAGGGAAGAGCGCTAACTACTGCGGAGCCGCATCTCCCCCATGCTAAGCCAACGAAGCCTAAATGACACTTCCTTCTTTCAGCAACACCTAACACCCCCCCCGGCAGAACCTCAGAGAAAAAGCCTGTTGGGAATATAGTGAATTAGTTACACATGCTTATCATTACTCTATATAGATTGTTCAGCAAAGTAAGCTACTAAATCAAAAAATGAAATGGCCGAAAGGCGACAATGTTTGAAAGGACATTATGTAATTTATAGCCTAACACTCAACAAGGTTTTTTATATAGTTATAAAGCACATACACCACTTACACTTACATGAAGCATAATGTTGTACTGAATTTTGAGTGTAATATTGATAGAATTAATGATCATCAGGAGTGCAGTATAACTGCACATTTAACTTGCTGATACTGTTTACCTATTATATTCTTAAAAACTGCATATGCCTTGAGACCTACACCATGCCAAAACGTATGAGGTGGGGACTGTTGCAAAAAAACGAAAATGTAGCATTTTGTATTAGCTGTAGATACAGTAAAATAATAGACATACGTTTAGAAACATTTATATGGGTGTCAAAGTCCTCCTTTTATATTTTTAGCAAAATATACTGGAAATGCAACATGGGATGGAAGGACAGAAGAATTCTAACACTATCCAAAAAACTTATCTGATACCAGTTAAATTCACTTTCACACCAAAGTTCCAGAACCCGATCCCGGTTTACAAGTTCCTGGGCTGTCTCGACTTGGAACTTTTGTAGCTCCTGGCCATTTTTGTGTGTAGCTTTCACACGACACAACAGGAACTGGGACCTTTATGCTAAATAAGCATGGGAGAGGCAAAAAGCTCATAGGTTAAACTTCGCACAATTTCATGCAAAACTACACGGCCACACCAAAACAACGGAAGATAAATAAGTTGTTTTGTTAGTTATTGGGGGAACCGATTGCAATGAAAATGGGACGCAGCTCTTTGTTTATATTTTACTTATATCACCCATGACATGTTCAGGATTGTTATTAAATCTAGCCAAATGATTGATGTTTCATTTTCCACAAAATAAGAAAACGTTGTAATGTGATCCCGCTAATAAGTGTTGGCAAGTTTCACCACAGGCACCAGTGATATTAGACAAAAGCATATTGCTTATTGATCAAATTTTATGGAAACACAAACAAAAAAAATATTAAGTGATGCATTGAATCTAATTAAGGTACAAAAATAATTCCATCTGACAAACTTTTTGCTCTGCTACATTTCTTTCTGCCCTTCTGCATAACTTCCGAGTTAGAGCCGGTGCTTGTGGTGAAGCAATTACTGTACCTAGTCTGGAGTTGGTACTAAAAAGGGTTCTGGAACTGCCTCTGAGGAACTACAATCAGGCCGAGATCCTGCCGTATGAACACGACAAAAGTCCCTGGTTCCTGAAAAAGGTTCAGGTTCCAGAAAAAAATTCTGGCAGTGTGAAAGCACCTTATATTTTCCCTTCAGAAGCTCTAAACAAGAGGTAGTCAGCCTTAAGACTCAAAGAAACTGCATTTACCTCTTGTGGAATCACAAAATGACACAATAGAAGAAGTTTGTTTCTCCACTGCCATCCTTCAGTTAACACAGCCTCATAGCAGCTTGGCTAATAGCAGGAACCATTCGGCCGGGGACTACCTTCACATTTTTATTTAGCAGATGCTTTTATTCAAAGCGACATACAAAAGCAGGGTCAACCAGACCCTGGAGCAACTGGCGTTTAAGGGCCTTGCTCAGGAGACCAAGCATAAACCCAGTCTGCCAATGCAGGGATCTGAGCCAGTGACCACCTGATCACAGGCACAGTGCTCCAGTCCACTGACCACACATGACCCCCACTTTTACCAGTTTACTTCCAGTTTACTGTTGAATCCTGTTGAGTGCTTCACTGTTCACTGGATTTTTTTCAGAACAGTGGTTTTCAGTGAATATAAAAGACATTACTGGATGCCGTTGGAACAACAACAGAGTATTCCCCAGATGTGACCCAACACCCTCCCCCAATGTAATCCCTACTCCTCCCACACCCCCCAACCACTGAAATCCCTATCCCCCTGACATATGCTTCCCACCTCTCAAAAAATCTTTATTAAAATCCCAACCTTTCTCAATGTAATCATATTCACCAGATCTGCATCTGTGGCTGAACATAATTAGACAGGGGGCTGAGCAGGGGGTCCCCCGCAATAAATTTCACAAACCAGCTCACAGATTGTTACAGATAAATTTCAGTGGGTGTGAGGGAGGGAGTGGCAATGAAAAAAAAATGTATATACTTTTTACCCCCGCGACTCAGAAGGATAATGATGGAAAATGGATGGATGGATGGATGGATATATACTTTTTATAAACTTCACAAAATCAGTTTGAGAACAAATGACCTACACAGTGTTCATGGGAAGTTTGAAAAACATCCATTAAATATTAAATATGGGTATCGCAAAACCCAAAAATATCGCAATTTGATGTTTTTCAATATCGTTCAGTCTTCATGTTCATTTTTTGGGAAGGGGGGGATCTGTCAATATCGTTTGACTTATCACATTTACAAGGCCAAATGTCATCTGCAGCCACTCTTCCGTTTGCTGCCACTAAGTGGCACTGCTTCAATTTTACAGTGATTTTTTTAGGGCAAAGTTTGAAAATTATCTTTCAAATACTTCTTCAGTTATGGTGCTAACATGTGAAAACTGCCACATTCTTTGCTATCACTATGCACTGTGCTTCAATTTTGGGACAATATGACTCAAGATTTCATCAGTTCCAGTGCTCCACCCATAAAATGCATCTGCAAAGCTTGAAAAAAAAATCCATCAAATACTTTTTGAGTTATTACTCTAGCTAGAAAATTTCTGCAGCGGCAGCAGAGGACTGGTCCCAAAACCATACAGTTTAATTAATCCAATATTTAGAAAATAAGTACAATTATTTCTCATGGTAAACATTAGAATCTTATTCCAGATAGTGGGGCTTAAGTCTTTATCAACACCTCTACAGCTATACTATATTTAATTTATTAAGCATACATCTTATTTGTTTTAGTAAAGTTATGTCAATGGAACAAAACTAGGTTAGTAGCCTAGTTCTAGTAGATAATCCAGATCTAATTTAGCTAATTCTGTAAGAATTGTTTTGTTTAGCATAAAACATTTTTGCTTGCCTGGAAGCAGAATAGTGGACAAATTGGTGGATGAACGTCTCAGAACAGCCTTAACGTATTGATCAGAGAACACCAACATTAATGACTATCACTAGTATAAATGTACAGAAAAACTTGGAAGAGCCTAACAAACTTGAGAGACACTGAACTCAACCCCAAACATCTAATGTAAACATATTAAAATTGCCAGCCTGCTTCTTTCACTGTCAGTAGATGAGTGTTTAGTGACAGTTACGTCAGTGGACTTATATACATGGACTAGCTGATACTAACATATACCTATTGCTTAACTGGCACCAGACATTATCCAGCTATGTTTAAACTATTATTTTATTATCATTTTTTTACTAAGCGTGCCACTGATTTGACATCTCACTATCATATGTAACTTCCTCAGGAAGAGAAATAAAAGGATGTTGAGGCAATCTCTGTGACCCAGGCGCTAGCGATGGCCCTGAGATTTGCCGAAGTGAAACAGGTTGCATCCTGAGTCTCAGTAGAGCTATCTGACTGCTATCCTGCTCTCATGCTAATCTCAGCCGCCCCCTAACAATGCTGCAACTGCCCCCCCCCACTCCAGCTGCACAATCCAAAATCTAACGTGCTTACAACCCAAGAGGGAATAATGTACTGCCGCCTTGCAGCAGGGTGCAGATGGAGGCTGTGGAAAACTGGAGCTACCCGTGAATGAGAGAGAGAGGTAAATAACGAGAGGCACTGAAATAGCAAGGACTGCAAGATGGGGACAGTGAGGGAAGCGCATAAGGCAGGCATGTGAGAAGCTGCACTGGACCCTTACAGCCTCTTTCACTGCTACAAGCTACTACTTTTAGTGAGGGAGACAGACAAACGGATAGATAGAGGGGCAGAGCTGAACAGGGTTAATGAGGGGAGCTAAAATACACAGGGCAGGACATACCAACCTTTTCCAGACAGCAGTAACCCGATTTATAATCCCAAATACAAACTAGGCAGACAGAATTTTGTGAGCAAAAAAAGTAAAATGCAAAAGTAAGATGGACATAAAAATGGAGCAAAAAAGCAAGAAAAGCAAAAAATACAGCTGCCTTTCAACAGTAGTAATCCTCATTTATATGGAAGAGCACTTGTTGCTTGGAGGGGCTGAAACATTAACTAATCCACAAAATGTCAATATGCCATTTTCATTGCTTCTTGGTGAAACTGGGTAAAAATGGAAAACATTTCACAAAATAGCTTTCCAAGAAAATATACAGTTCCAACAAAAAATGTACGGATGTGTATAAATCACTGTATGGGGCAATAAAGGAAGTAAGAAATAAAGAAACGTGAAAAAAAATCATCCACTTTGCAGCTGACGGCCCAAGTCAAGCACATTTACAAATGTACATCGGAGAAAAATATATATTTTGTTTTTAAATCTCAAGTGACAGTTCTTAAGTAACGTCTTCCCAATGACAGCAGTACATCCACCTTCTACCCTCAGCCCAAATATTGCAAACTCCAATAGTGATTAAACAAGCTGCGGCATGTTCCTCCATTTAGCAAAGTAAGCTCCATTCAAAGTTTTTCTACAATCCCCAGGCTGGAAGTGTTGATGGCAGCCATTGTCATACATTATCTCAGTCTGTTACAATAATCCCACCTCAAACTTTTGAGTTTTGTCAGGTCCATTTTCTCTGCATTTCACAAATCCAGAGGGATAACATGTCCTTAACAGATCTCAGCGGATTGGCCAAATCTCCACCGTGGCAGTTAGAGAGGACAGGTAGGTTGGATGTACCATGGGCTTTTAGACAGCAAAGATTTTCTCAGTTCTCTATAGTTGAATCCATAGTTCAATATCCTGGTACGTCCAGGAAGAATTTGAGTAATCCAAAGGGAAAAAAAATGTATGGCAGCAGTACCATCCATGGTGAAACAGAGACTTGTTCCTTTTCTGTGATGGTTTCTTCAACCCCACCACAAAAAAAGCACTTCCCAAAAGATTGTTCATTTGTTTTATATGATCCGACTTAGTTCTCCATCTTGTTCTCTTTACCCAGTACTTTCTTAAATTCCACATTTTGTTCTCAAACAATTAAACAGAAATAAACCATAAATAAACCAAAAGGGATTTAAAAATGAAAAATGAGTCATGTGCTCACTTTGTTTTCCTGTCTTTTTTTCTCAATAAAGAAATAAATGGCAAAAGTCACATCATATATTCGTGCCCTCTCACCAGACAAATAATTCCAGAGAGAAACCGCAAACCCACAATACCACTCACATACGCCTGAATATCCTTGAACGGCCAATGAAAATCCAGCTGAGGTATACATATCCTGGGAATATTATCCATGAAAATCCAGACCATGAAGGAACTGAAGGTCACAAGTAACCAGGCCATCATTAAGAGAAGTGCAAAATCGGACCTATTTTTGCTTATCCAATTCATAATTATATACATATATAGATATAAATATGAATTTTGAGTGTTCTGGTTTGAAAACAAAAGAAGCATGATATTAATCCACCATGTGTTGTACTGTACTCCATATCAGGTGATCCCAGAAATGGCCACTGGGGGCTCCCTCCTGCATCCAAACATCCCTGGACACTTACTGTATCCACAACTTGCCCTGGATTTTCCACAAATGTGACATTCAAAGCATCCAGTAAATTTCATGTAGGGAATTCCCAGTAACACAATATACTGCATAAATACTTATATGAATGTACACAACCAATAAATACACAAAGTTGCCTTTTCCACTGTCACACATGCGCAAACATACACATAAATATACACGTATCAAACACATACAGACATGTATGTGTACACACGATGTACATTTCCCCATGACTACTAATCCTTCATCCCAGAGAATTCACAAGGTATCCCTTACACTAAAAATTAGCTTCAATTTGTCTTTCACCTTCGCCTCCCCATTCATCAGTCCCCCAGCCCCCTTCTTGCTTTCAGTTTAACACCCATTCGGCTTCCACTTCCCTCAGGTAATCTTTGTTGACTTACCCATCCAGTCTGCGCTCATAGCGTGCCTCTCTGCTGTGGAGAGATGTCGGGGGACCGTACACTGGCCCCCCTGCCGCCCTCGCAAACCCCGAAACATCCCGACCGCGAGAGCCTATGGATAGGCTATCGTCCAGGCCACGTGCGGCACTCGGGATGGTCCCAGGTTCATTATAGTCGGTGCGCAGATCCCTGTCTCCCATTTTGTTGATGGAGTTATGTGCTTTTTGGGCGCTCTTAATGTCCACAAAATCCACAAAAGCCGCCACGCCGCCCTCTGACCCCCGCTTGGGGAGGACCTTGACACTCTCCACCCTCCCATACCTGTGGAAGAAAAGTGGACACAGAGGCGGTTGACGCATGAACAAAGGAGGAGATGCTGAAAAATGTTTGCCTGACACTAATGATATTTCACAGATCACAGAAACTAGACCAGATTTTTCTAAAATTTGGATAAACATAAAATTTCAATTTTGAGGCGAAATTTAATTTAGTTTCAAAAGGTCCAACTTTAAACAAAAACATTTTTATCATAGTGTAAATTTAAGCTATATGGGATATGTTTTGAAAAAAAAAAAGGTAACTAAGGTTTCACTTTCTAAATGCAGTCATTAAGTTCATAAACTTACATTACAAAAAAGAGAACAGAAAAATAAAACATTAAAACCTTCTACAAGATGGCTAAATAAAGCCATGTGCCATCACTACGAAACTGTTTTGCAAAAAAACAACAAAAAAGTAAAACTTACGATAAAATCCCGTCTCATAGAAAGAAAAATGTTTCTGCTGTTTTATAAAAATGACATCCCCAAATCTCACACTGCCATCACTGAAGATTAGGTCCAGCTATAAAATGTTCTAAGAACAACTGAAAAGCACCAATTAATGATACCAATAGCAATGAACATTACAGCTACAGGAACTTCAGCATCAAGCATCAAAGTCCTATCAAAAGCCAGTACTTTGTTATCTCCAAAGGTAAGCAAGAGATTGCAGTTGTATTCTTCTTCTAAACCCAACAGGTATGGAGGCAGTGCCACCGTCCAATGATATCATTTAAATAAAAGATTACATCAGCATTTCCCATCCATGATTCTAACTAAGAGTCTGAGGCAGCCGAATGACAAACAACAGACTCTTGGGTAGAGAAAGTGCATTGAGACTGACTTTGGTCAAAAGACACAGTTATGCTGTCATATAGATCATGCAGGGGCTAAGGAACTGGTCAAATGAACTGGGCTCTGTTCATGGCAAGATGGTGCCAATATTGCACAACAGAGCTGTCTGGCATTTTAACCAAATGAATCTCAGAGTATTTCTTACACAAAAGATTTACCATGATGCCAGCACCAGAGAAAATGGGTACGATATGGAGCTTTAGAAACAATATGGAGCTTTAGAAACAGTCCAGTTTTATAAGCAATTTGTCATAACAGTCATGTACATTTATGCAGCTTGCCAGCTAATGTGTTCATAATATAGGGTTATCTACTTATCTGTTGGTCTTTAATGGACCGAACAATTTATTTGGATCTAGACAACCAGATTTTATTACTACATATATGCCCACAGGAAGTCAGTAATTTGAAGGAGCATTTAACTAAAAATACTACACACACACACACACACACACACACACTACAAATACACAGGACAAAGGGTTAATATGGTACCTTGCATTTTGTCAAACAACTTCACTAAGCAACAGTAACCAAGCAACTAGAGGCAAAACGCCAACACTAAGGATATTAAGAACATAGAATCAGAAATTTGAATATGTGTATTATATACACATCTAAAAAAGAGATTTTATTGTACTGTAAGTAGGCTTATTGATCCATGTACATCTACACTAAAATAATAATAATTTCATTTTAAACAGATGCCTTGATGTATGGCTATTGCTTTGGATACCTTGAAAACCATACTTTTAATTTAAGTCAAGCAGTCAGACCATAAGAAGTGTGTCAGAAATCCCCATTCACTATATATTAAAATTGTATCATTATTAATTCGACATGCACTGACTATAAATATAGCCAATTTTGAAGAATAACCTTCATATTTATTATATTCAGTACTACATTAAGTACTTTGTGTTTTTTGCTCAACAAAATGGCCGCATTGCATAATCATGTCTGAAGTGTGTGTGGGTATTAAACCTAGCGGATGCAATGAGGCGCTGGGTCACAATTTTGCCGTTTCGTTTGCGGTTTGTTTTCCCAAAGCTGACCGGTTCCCACACTGACTTGACGATCCTCGACGCCATTTTCTAAGCCCATTCACACTGCTTACTCACCATCCCTTCCCCCCACCTCCGACATCTCCCTCCCCTGCATTCTCCTGGCACGCTTTAGCGCTTCCCCAGCCGTCACTTGAGACAGGGCAAAAGCAGCATTTCATTGCGAGACAGCGCAAGTCCACTTAAGTATTACACTCAGTTTTATTACCCCGTTGTGTGCGACTTCCGTAACAATCGTTTAAGACTCAACAAAAAAAATGCATTTATAAAAGCCGTAAACATAAGAGAAGGCGTTGCATCCCAATGACAGCAAGGAATACAGAGACGGAGAATAGCTATAGCTTTCTTCGAAGGATGAGAATACGTTCATTAAATTTAAAATCGCACATTTTTGCAAGCTCCCCCCATATAATCAGATATGACTAGCTAATAGTTCTAATAATTGTATTGCTACAAAATAGCCCTGGAGTCGGGAATCTAGGAATGATGTGCTACTGAATAATCGCATACATACAGTATAACAGATTTTTTTTGTTTAACCTACAAGGTACACCCTATTAAAATCCGTTTTAATGTTTCAGTCCAACTAAAACCAGAATCTCCCTCAGGGTATTTTTTCAGGCGCGTTGCTCACTGCTCTGTCGGTCAGATCAGATTTTTAATAAACCGGTTAATTACGGCATTATATACGGAAATTAGCTGCAATAAAAGGCACCACACATGGCTGTGTCAAACAATATGTGCAATGCTGCAACCCCTTAGTATGTCTTCCCGTCGTCAAAGGCTACGAGTAAAATGAACTTAATGGACATTGCTGGCTACATCGATTATGTCACAAGATATTGCAAAACCAGAAATGTATTTCGTAAGTGCAAGTATCAAATAACAAAAAACAGAGATATATTTAAATAAGCAATCTCTGAATCGCCGTTAGCCTATAAAGTTGCTTTAAGACATCACAGAGCGATCAGTTACATTTTCTCAGTGTAAGTGCTAATCTAACCTACAGAACATTATTCAACCAGGTGTAAAGCGGACGACAATGCTCTTTTATTTAAAAATCTGACGTTTGTTTACAATCGGTTTAAGCCTCGTAATATATTTCACTGATAAACTAATACAACGTTATCGTAATAGCAAACTCATTGATAAAACTCATCTCAAAGCATGTAATTATTAAATACAGAGGTGGGAACATTAAGCAAGGGGAAATTGTACCTATTTGCACAACAATATGCACGACTTTCTTGATCAACATCAAAACAGTAAAGTAGTCCCTTTTAAGACAAACGTACAATTTCGAGCACACATTCCAATGGAATAATTTAATCCGCAAGTCTTTCCTTCCTTCCACATCTCTCAGCATCAGTAATACAACACCAGATCAGACCTCTAAGTTCAGATTTTAAACTAACGACCCTCAATGTTTTCCTTTAACAAAATAAAACTACTGAACATTGCAGTTCACTTTTACTTACGGGCTTTCCCTGACTTAGTGTGGACCCTGCGACTTCCATGCTATATGTGCTTAAGTCTCCAGGTCCGCGGAAACAAGGCATGCAGACAGACCGAGAGTGCTCGCGTTCTGCTATGAATCATAGTATTATTGGGATGTTATACATTTCATTCCGAAGGGGAACGGGTTTTAAGAACCATATCACAGAGTGCACCTGGAGATTTAACGTTGCAACTCTAAGCAATCTGAAATCTTTCAGGATCGTGCTCTGGCGACGTCTACCTGATGCGAGTCTTTTTAAGCAGTCTACATTCATATCTGTAACATAACCAACGACAGATCTTAATAATACAAAGTTCATATCCCCTTAAAGGTAATCAGATCAAAATAATTTCTTCAGTGTGCCACATTTTCCATATCAACAAAGACCAATATACTGCGAGTTAACGATCCTCGCGGTTTCCTCGCCGACTTTGATGACAGTGGTCACCCTTAGGTTGACGGTCGACTACACCTCTGCGATGTATAATTCTCTTTCTGACTGAAAACAAGGCTTCTGTCAGCACCACGTGAATCTACCTAAAGGAACATCAGTAATTTGTTTTAGATGCCTCTCAGAGAAAAGGTCTTGACTCGCTAGCTGTCTGCCTCTTGTAGCTGTTACGACCTGGCAAACTTTGCAAAACGGTACTCAACGTTCAAATCTGGAAATGTCAACAGTAGGAGATAAACATGCAATGGTGAAGTATATGCATACAGTTTAGAATATATGCACACTTCACGTATTTGCAAACAAGATGACCGCGAAACCTCTGCAAATACATGAATAAATGCATATATAATATTTAGTTATCTGACCAGTACAGCGTTTAAACCGTGTTACAGGAGACGCGTCACATGCTGCTTCGTTTCTAATGCAGTTTTCATCCTGGGTCCTCCATATTCAGTACTGAATACAGTATTTATTCCTCACAAATGAGCTGGACAGCTACCTAGTTGTCCCACGTATTCTTCGACAGACCTTTCTGACTAGCAGGCTGTGGGGACTATTAGATGGTTAGTCAACTAGCCTGCATTCAGTCCTCCTTCCCGGTACTGAAATTCGTAAGTGATAAACAACACAAGTACAAAACGTTTAAAATGCATGTAGGTTGGCAACAATCTCTCAATTTTTCTTATTTCTCAAGTCTCCATATTCTGGCAGCTACACATTTCTCACGACGAAGCGAGTAACTAGTCCCCATCCCCACGAAGCGCCAAGAGAAAGGCATCCATGCACAGGAGCTAGCTGCTGGCTGGCTACTCCGTTTTTTCAATCTGATTTTTTTTGTAGCTAACGAGCTAAGCGTTAACTCACCGTTTGAAATGTTCGATAATTTTCTCCTCTCGCACATTTTCAGGTAAATTCCCCACCCATAGGTGTCTGGTTTCCCGGACCATAGTGTGCGTTCGTGTCCCCCGTTCATACAGATACGTTTTATTACGTTTAACTCCTATCCTTTTGTATGTTCTGAGTAAAAAATCAAACACGGAGAGATATGTGTATAGATCATCAACGGCTTGCTGCGACCCGATGCCACCATTAGTGCTCTCGCTATGTGTGTCTGTGTGTGTGTGCCTGTGTGTGTGTGTGTATGTGTGTGTCTGTGTGTGATTCTCCGCTTGCAAGCGGCGTGCTCCCTATGTACGAGAACGCGCTTTGTTCCAGTTCCCGTGCTAGGGCGCGTCCCCGGTAAGAACTATATCTGTATTTTTTAGGATGCGGAAATCTTTCTCATTCGATCACTTACAAGCCTAACACGGCATATACTGTGATATTGGCTAATGCAATTAAAACGTGATTTTCACGTTTTAGACGTGATCTGTCGTTTAATTTGCATCTAAAGAGAAATAATGATTGGATTAGCTACACTATGGAGCAGGGGAGTTTCTAGCTATTGAAAAGATCAGGGGCTAACTCGAGTTTACCTGGGGTTTGACTTTTTTATTTTTGAAGGAGGATAATTGGCATCGGGGCTAAAATACTCTGGTATATAGTTCCGAGTGATCGGACCAAACGACGCCCATGTTATGAGAGAAACACATGGCTGAAATAATATTTTATAATTTCAAGTAGTACCAAACTGTCACTGAAGCAGGAAAAATGCATACGGCTTCATGTGAAGATCGTCAGGCCTCGATCCGCTTAATGGGAACGTGTGTGAACCGACAGCACCAACAACTTCTTTTCACTTGATGAAACCCATTGATCATCTCGTTCATTCAGATATGCAAAATAATAATATAGAAGCAGAATATAGCTGTCAGATCACACGGGGTCAGAAAAACGCCTATAAACTGATTGTGCAAGTTTTTGTCTTGATGACTGAACACATTTTATAAGTTTGAAACCCTGAACCCTCTAGGGAATGATGCCAATTAAATGAAAAGGAGAACTTTTATTTTTGAAGTTATACTGATACAAAAAACAGACCTGTTATTTTAAGCATCTAAAATATTGTATAAAATGAAAAAAAAACTATATTACAATCAAGACAGCAACTGGCATTGGAAGGGAATTGACTGTAATGATTGTTGGCATTTCAACAAAGTGCACGAAGCAAAAGTTACAAAGAAGTCGCTAAGGCATCTATACTCTGGAATGTCAGAACTCAGATCTCGTGTGGGAGATGTGGGGAAAAAACAGAATATCCAGTTTAAAAAAATGTACAGTTGCAAGCAATGTAAGTTAGATACAAACTCCAAATTTGATTGTGTTCAATTAAGATATAGTCAATAATCTGCATAGAATGGAAATTCATTTGTAGTAAAATGACAATTGCAGTGACGTGATAGCATATTTGTAGTTAATGCAATCAGTGCAAGTAGACTTGGAGCTTATTGAATGCATTAGCTACCTCACATAAGTGTATGCTTACTATGTATAAACTATGTGTAACTCCATTATACATCATGACATTTAAAAAGCATAAAATGATAGACAGTGAAATTAACATGCTTTTAGAAATTTACAAAATATCAAAGAACATTTTTACAATTGGTAACAATATAAACTTGATATCCCCTGCCACAGAATATGAAAGGAAGAACATTTTGACCAATTTGTATTAAACTATGAATATTTGATTATATTATTAATTCCTGTGTTTTTTTTTCTCCTCCCAGTTAGCAGTTCCATATTGATCTTATAGGTAGTTAGTTTTTATTCTTTTGATTCATAAGGACTATTATAATCAATTAGCCTACTTTTACGGAACTTTTAAACGTTTTTTTCTATATATACTTGTTCCGCAGTGAAGAAATTCTATGTTGCAGAACGGCCCTTCTGCAATGTGTTAAATATTACATAAGCCATTTTATGATTGTAAAGATACACTGAAACCTTAAATCCAAGAAAGCAATACTGAATATTTCAATATGGAATATGAATTACATAAATATTAATAAAACCGATTAATTGTACGTTTAGACTCCAAAATGTATGTGAATTACATGAAAGCTTGATTGTGAATTCCTGACAACACTGAATGTAACAGTTATCTTCTTATGTACTGTATCATGAAGGTATAAAAGCAACAATTGACGCATTACTTAAAAGTAAAACTTATTTCGGACTAACGTAAACTTCGGTTATATTGATTACAGAAAACGTACAGGCCAGACAGCTTAAAAAATTAAAATAGAATATGTTTGAAAGTGCTTTTGTGATTGTTATCTTTCATTATCACAATTCAAGTCACGCTTCAGGGAATCTTAACGCCCCCAAAATAAATCCGTACGAAAACACTTTAGTTGAGCTTTTGCTGTCTACAGAGAAGCATTACACGCCTGCGCCAGAATGCGGCAAAATTGGGTAGCTGCAGTGTGGGCACCGCGCATGCGTACGCCACTCCCCCTCCTCCAAGAAGAAGACAAAGAAGGGAAGGAGGACTGTAGTTTCCGAAATTTCTGGAAACGAAGTGGTGCGAGATGGCCAGCGAGACGCCGTGGAGCAAACAGGGGACTATTCGGATATATTCTGTTTTCGTCAGTGAATTTGAAATGAAACACGTTATACGTTGAAATTTGTTTCTAGTCTAGCTAATAAAATATTGCTGGCTATGTTGGTTATAAACCTTCTTGGGAACGTATGGTGGACACAATCTGTACTTGTATCTACTTGGTTCATAATAAAGTAAAAGGCTGGAGCTTCAACGTCCATTGTGTTCCCAGTTAAAGGTCTACTTCGCATATACTGGCTTGGTCTTTGGATTTACCGCTATCTAGCTAACAGCTTCGTCTCCACTGGGTCTTGGAATTATCACTGGAAGGATTAAAAGTGAGCTCTGTGGATATATCGCCTATTCATATGAGCACGAATCTGTGATAAGCCCGATCTCTGATGTCCCTGGGAATTTCCAAAGGCACGTTTCCGACAGACGTAAACTAACGCTGTTTAACACCACCGACAATCGCACATCAAGTGAAGTACTTTACTGTACACAAGTTAACACGAATATAAGTATAACCTTATTTCCAAGTTATGTCATAGCAGTACAATCTTTCCAAACTGACAGACATATTTTGGGGTGCTGGTAAAATGGTGATATTGCCGTTATTCCTGCATTGGACGCCATTTTGTGGGGGCAGAATTTTGACTAATTTGAACCGGCCATTTTGTATTTATCTAGCCAGTCCTTTTAGATGTACATGTGTCAAACTTTAGACGTCGCGGGCACGGGTGAATTAACTTGGGCCCTAGGTTGACGTGGCCACCCCCTCCCCCAAGCGGGCCCCTTACGCTGTATTTTGCAGCCTGCGTACCGTCAATCAATCCGTTAAATAACGGGGATCGGGACGGATATCGCCCCCAATGGATCGATCCGCCAGATTTAGCTCATTTGTCCCATTCCCTTTCTCCCGAGACGGGGGGCGGATTCTGCCGGGCCGTAGACTGCAACCTCGGATAGCCCTTGCATTAGTGCGTCCCTATGATCGCTGGCCATCATGTATAGTTCATTCGTTAAAATGGATTTAACTTAATTGTGCACAATGTATCAGAGTTAAAGTATCGTTTCGACGTTAATCAAACTTAATTCTTATGAAGCTACTCCTTTATTGTTTATTGTATGCTCAGGGCTCTCAAGTCTCACGCATTGACCGTGTGACACACAGTTCACACGCTAACACGCCGCACCTCGTGTTTCTCATGCTGGGAAGGGATAACGCCAACCAAGGTCTTCTGTGTTATATAATTATTAGACGATGCGCATACGGAATAGATTTTTCCGCCGAGTTCAAAACTGTCCCGGGTTATACAGAGTTAATGGGTACCTACCAGCAAATCATAAAATAGCATTTGTTGTCTCCGGGTCAATTCCAAAATAAGTTACGTGTGATTCCACTGCAAGCACGTTATCACATGGATGCGCAGACAGATGGAGTACAGAAAAAAATGGAAATTAGAAAGATCCGATGAACGCTGTAATTCGGGAGTCTCAAGACGTAATGTAATCTAACTCCAAACTTTGGATGAAATTTGAGAGCCTTGTATGTTTATGGTGCACGTTATGTACTGTAACATCGTTAAACAATGTGGTATGTGGCTTACCAGGCTAGGGCCCATGGTTTGAACTCCATCCTATTATAAACATATGATAATAACAAACATTATAATTGCATAATCATAATCTTTGTTATTAATGTATATGAAAGCTGTTAAGCCATGTTTGTATGCTAAGGTGTACTTACATACTGCTCATAAATGTCCTATGAATGCATTATGAATGCACTATGAAGGTATTACATGAAGGTGCACTTCATGTAAAGCATTACCAAAAAATTTATAAAAGGAAGATTTACATTTGTCTGTGCAGTTAGGGGGATGAATTTACAACTGAAAAAAAATGAGGACACGACATTTGGGAACACATTAACTTTATGGGTAACACCTGGTTCTTGCCTATGGGTTAACTCTGGTTGATGGGAACAGTGTACAGTAAATGCTAAAGCAGGGGTGTCAAACTCCAGTCCTGGGGGGCCAGAGCCCTGCACAGTTTTTGGTTTACTGTCATTTAACACACTGATTCAACTCCTTGTGCTAATTACCACACAGCTCTTGAGCCGAATCATTTGTGATGGAACAGGGAAAGAACTAAGCTACACAGGGCTCCGGCCCTCCAGGACTGGAGTTTGACACCCCTGTGCTAAACCAATGATTGCGTGTATCTATTCTACAAAGTACCAGCAGTTGCAGGTTGGTGACGCCAAAGTCATGTTGTATACAGTATGTGTTCGGTGGCACACATTGTGACTCTTAAAAATAAAGAAAATTCAGATGACAGAGGCTGCATTATTTCCTGTTACCTATATCCATTGGAGTTGTGAATCCCTGAGTCATTGTCTTGCTTTCAGTAGAGGCTCTGTATCCCTGCCACCCTGCATAGGACAAGCAGGTATAGATAATTGTTATATGGGTGGATCAATCTTCATGTTTCAAAGTTAGAATTGTCTAGGAATGGTTCCTGGAATGTGACTGTGAATTAATCATACTGCAGTAGCCCAATCGCAGACATTTCTGGGATGAGTAAGAGTAAGCTTTGTGGAGTAGAGATTGTGGAGTCCCTGCCCTCATGAAATATCATTAATGCCTGTATGTTTCCCTTTAGCAAATAGTTAACCTGGATTACTTTTTAATATTCAGCTGTGAAAGCT